ATCAGAAACGCAGGTAAGGTGTGGGAGCTCGCCACTGCCATGGGCATTAGGGGAGGAGGTGCCCCCACACACCCACCACGGGAACGATGGGAAGGAGTGCCATGTGAAGGCCACCCTCGCCGCCGCCACTAGGCATCCCGCATCTAGGCTCAGGGTCCAAGGGCCTCACACCTTCTTCGAGCCTCCTTGTCGCTGATAGAAGGAAGCCACTGCCATGGAAGAACAGGCTGGGCGCGGCGGCGACGGCAATGGACCACCAAGTTTGGGGTTTGTCGTCAGGTTATGATGATGATTTCTTTTTTGATGTCGTACATGCGGTAATTGATGAGAATGAGTCTGATGAAGAACCAAAACATTGCGGTTCTGTTCATGGACATCGAGTGCTTCAGTGCGATAGACAGGCGTGACATCAGAGGCTATACCAGGATTATTTCGCCAATGATCCTACGTATGCGCCAAATTATTTTAGATGAAGGTATGCGATGAAACACATTTCATTTTGTAGAAAAGATGCTTATATATGTGTGTCTAATTATTTTATAGTGCAGGTTTCCAATGGGTCGTACATTGTTTCTGCGCATACTGCAAGCTGTAGAACAACACGATGAATATTTTGTGCAAAAAAGGAATGATGCCGGTACACTTGGCTTGTCTAGCTTGCAGAAGATTATAGCAGCATTTCGGATGTTAGCTTATGGAGTAGCAGCTGATGCTATGGATGATTATGTCCATATTGGTGAGAGCATTGCACTTGAAAGTATCAGAAGGTTTGTCGTCGTTGTTGTAGAAGTTTTTGGAGAAGAGTACTTGAGATCGCCTAATGAAGATGATACCGCTAGATTACTTGCAATTGAGAAAAGAAGAGGATTTTCTGGTATGCTTGGGTCCATAGATTGTATGCACTGGAGGTGGAAAAACTGTCCTTATGAATGGCAAGGTATGTACAAAGGGCATGTACATGAGCCTACAATTATACTAGAAGTTGTTGCTTCAAAAGTTCTATGGATTTGGCATGCTTTCTTTGGGATGATGTAAGGTCGAGATGGCGACTAGAGGGGGGGTGAATAGTTGTTACTAAAACTTAATCACACCGGCTAATCGAAACAAGTGCGGAATTAAAACTATCGGTCTAGCCAAGACTACACCCCTCTATCTATGTTCTCTAGCACCTCACAAAGATCCTAATTAAGCAACAAAGGTGTCGGGACTAGCTAGAGCTCACCTAACCAATTCTAGGAGCAAGGTCACACAAACCTATGCCACTAGTACTTCAAGCAAAGAGGGAGCTCCTACACATGCTAGTAAGCAAAAGCACAAAGCCACCTAAGCTCATTAGTAATGCTCAATAACAAGGCAACCAATGCCAAATTAGAGAGCGCAAATACTAAACTACACAAACTAAGCAATGTGACTAATAAGGTTACACAAACCAAATTAACCACGCAAGGGAGCTACTTCTATGCTACACAAGCTAGAAGGTAACTAGCAAGCTACACAAGCTAACTAATTACAAGAGCAACTACTCAAGCACAATATATATAAAAGTAATCACAAGCTCGTGTAAGGGGATTGCAAACCAACGGAAAGAACAAAGTTGACACGGTGATTTTTCTCCCGAGGTTCACGTGCTTGCCAACACGCTAGTCCCCGTTGTGTCGACCGCTCACTTGGTGGTTCGGCTGGCTAATTGGCATCACCCGCCAAGCCCGCACGTCGGGCACCACAAAAACCTACCCCGAAAGTGAGGGTAGCTCAATGACACGCTTTACTAGAGTTGCTCTTCGTGGCTCCCACGGGGCGAGCACAATGCCCCTCACAAAGCTCTTCTCCGAAGCACCACACAAGCTTCTTGAAGGCTTCGACGGAGACCACCACCAAGCCGTCTAGGAGGTGGCAACCTCCAAGAGTAACAAGCACCACCGGCTTGCAACTCGATCACCTAGTGCCACTCGTGCAACCTCACGATGCAATCGCACTAGAATCGCTCTCACACAATTGAATGATCGCTATCAAGCATATGTGAAATGGAGGGCTCCTAAGCACTCCCAAGCATGAACACAAAGTCCCCCGAGGTGCTCAACACAAGCCATGACCGAGACCACCTTCTATTTATAGCCCCATGGGCTAAACTAGCCGTTACCCCTTCACTAGGCAAATTTCGGGACGACCGGACGCGCAGGTCGTTTGCACCGGACGCTTCCGGTCGCAGCTGACCCGCCACGTGTCCCATTCAAACTAGTCGTTGCCACCAACGGCTCTCTCTGACATGTCGCATCGGACGCGCTTTTTTAAATGATCGGACGATGAGCCGCAGCGTCCGGTCGAGTCCAGTAAGCTCCTAGGGCCGACCGGACGCATCGTTAGAAAATGACCGGACGCTGAGCCTCAGCGTTCGGTCGAGTCCAGTAAGCTCCCAAGCTTGATCGGACGCGTCCGGTCACTCCGGACCGGACGCTCCCAGCGTCCGATCAACTATTACACTGAACATCGACTTCGCTGATTTAGTCCGGTCGCTCTCTGCAATTCAGTACCGAGCCACATACCGGACGCGTCCGGTCGCTATACCGGATGCGTCCGGTCACTCTATGACCAGCGCGACTAACTCCTCTTCTTCACTAACTTCTTCTCCTTTGCAAATATGCCAACACCACCAAATGTACACCACCATGTGTATATGTGTTAGCTTTTCACAAACATTTTTCAAAGGATTAGTCACTCAACTTGTCACGTCACTCGATCCTAGCGACGATGCAAAGTTAGATCACTCGAGTGGCACTAGATGACCGATATGCAAACAAGTTTGCCCCTCTTGATAGTACGGCCATCTATCCTAAACCCGGTCATCAACTTCTCTACACACCTATGACCAGTGAAATAAAATGTCCTAGGTTATACATTTGCCTTGCGCATTCCATTCTATCTCCTCCAATGTCGATGCAACACATGCACCAACATGATCAACAATGATATGATCCACTTCATATCATCACGTGATCATATTGGTTCATTGATCTTGACTTCACTTGCTTTTCACCGTTGCCTTCGTCCATCGGCGCTAAGTCTTGCTCAAGCTTCACCGCCATGCGGTCCATCGCTCCAAAGCCTCCGACTTGCCCTTCACGCGCTTGCAACCGGTCCATCAAGCCAAGTCTTGTCTTGATCTTCTCCACCTTGATCACATGACTCAATGTCATGTCTCATGTGCAATGAGCTCCTTCATCATCACATGTGTGAGCTTTGCAACATCTCTGAGCTATTTCAACCTTCATGGCATATGTTGCTCACACACATGTACCTGTGGACTAATCACCTGTGTATCTCACATAAACACAATTAGTCCACCTAGGTTGTCACTCAATTACCAAAACCACACAAGGACCTTTCAGATGCCTAGTTCACAAAATGGCATCAACGTTTTGCAACGGTCACCTCTATTTGCAAGGCTAGCTGAAGGTCAAGCTCCAGAGGTGAACTATACCATTAATGGCCATGATTATACAATGGGTTATTATCTTGCAGATGGCATATACCCTTCATGGGCCACATTCGTAAAGACCATACCCGAGCCACAAGGTAATAAGAAGAAATATTTTGCCCTAGGCCAGGAAGCTTGTAGGAAGGATGTTGAACAAGCTTTGGAGTTCTACAAGCTCGTTTTGCTATCGTTCGAGGCCCAGCTCGTTTTTAGGATGATGATACGCTTAGCCTAATCATGAGGGCTTGTGTCATTATGCACAACATGATAATTGAGGATGAGCGAGATGAAGAAGATGATTTCAATTATGATGTGGTGGAAGAAAAAGTGAAAATTTCCCATGACTCTACACTTGAACTTGAGGAGTTTATTCAGAACTACAAGAATATTAAGGATCAAGAAGTTCATACGCAGCTTAAAGATGATCTAGTTGAGCACCTTTGGCAAAATCATCCAGACCTATATAAACAAATATAATTGTTTTCTATATATGGTTTGGTTTACTGTTTTCTAGAATAATTTTAATTACAAAAATTATGTGGCCACAATTTTTGTAATTACGCTTTGTCATATTATCCTTCTTCTATTCTTGTCATATTTGGATCATATATATTATTGGGAATATTTAAGATTCACAACAGCCTGAATCATATTGGATCATATATATTATTGGGAGTATTTAAGATTCACAACAGCATGAATCATATTTGGATCATATATTTTTTTGCCCATAGTTAGGACACTTACACATGTATGCTGTACAATGCAAGGATTGATTCAAACATAAAAGGAACTAAATTTAAAATCTTTAGGTACTGCAGTGACTGCTCATGATCTTAGACCGGCAACACATGTAGTACTGCTTTTGATCATCAGGCATGGCACTAAGGTCCATTGTCATAATCCTCTCTTCGTCCTTCTTGCTCTTCAACTCTACCTCTTGCGCCCTCAATTCCAACTCTTTCTTCCTCAACTCAAGATTTAATTTCTCATTCGCAGTACTTTATCTTGCATTGTAGCACCACTTTGTCGTCTACCCTCAATCCTGGAAAGACATCCTGTAAACTTATTCACACTTGTCTTGTATAGTAGACCAACGGTGCATAAGAGAATTTTGCGTACGGTCTGAGGGGAAGGGCAAGTTTTCATGGAAATAATCATGAATTCTAGTCCAATATGATTTATGTGTTTGATTTGCTCCTGTGATTGGATCCAAGCTCACATTCAGCCACACAGAAACCAAAATCTCATCTTCCTTCTCACTGAAATTCTTTGATCTCTTGTGATTTGGTCTTGCAGAGAATGCTGATGGAGTCACTAGCTTGGTTCACAGAATATCACACCCACACCCACACAGAGGCAGGCATCAACCAAGCAGCCAGAGAGGGAGAGGAACAGGGACAGGGACAGACAATGATGACGGTGCCTGAGAAGGCAGTAGTTCTACCATCAGCAAGAGAAGAGGCAACTTGCAAGAAAATAAGTTCAATGTGATATTGGAATCAGAGATGCCCCAAGACAGTCATCACTCAATTACGTCCCTGATACTGGGAACACTGAACATGTCCTTGTCCTGATTCTTGCCATCTATCCGTTTTAAAGCAGTCAAATGTTGTGATGGCAACTCTCAAGCAGATAACAAACATAATTCAGTTACTGAATACTAGACACTGGTATGCCAAATTGTGCTATCTCTAGTAACTACACGAAACTAAATGTATCAGATACTATGCAAATTATAGTGCCACTGATATGCTGATACCCAAACAGACATTCAGTTGCTGAAAAGTTCAGGGTTTTCTGCAGAAACACTTGCAGAGAAGACTCATTCCAAAAATAAATTCCTAAAACACATGCTGTACAGATAACAAGACACTTCACTAGCACACACATTCCTGAAACCCGCAATCAAATACACATCTGAGCATCTATTCTCTATACTAATCACATCAGCGCATACATGTCTAAATCTACTTTACTGCAACCATGAATTGGAAGTATAGTGAGCCATTTGTAGCAATGCTAACAGGTTTCCATCATACCATTAACAAACATGTCGTTGTTGGCCATATCTTCAAAGGATGCAGCAGGGAATGAGTTCTCGTAGACCCCCATCTGCTGAGAATCCACAGTGTCGCCAAATCTGATCGCCTGGAGAATATGGCCACCGGCGGACTGCGCCAGCCGCGTCTGCGCGGTGGTGGACGGCGGCCGCATGAAAGTGGCGACGGACCGCGGTGGCCGCATCTGCACATCGCCGTTTGCGGGAGGCCGCATCAGTGCGTCGACGGCCGTGGGTTGCCGCAGATGCGTGTCGACGGACAGGGGCGGCCGCATCTGCACGTCACCGGTTGGGGGTGGCTGCATCACTGCGTCGACGGCCGCGGGTTGCCGCAGCTGTGCATCGACGGACAAGGGAGGCCGCATCTGGACGCCGCTGGACAGGGGCCGCCGCATCTGGGCGCTGCCACATGCGCCTCACGCTCCTGGAGGAACCGGCATCCCTAGCTGGCCCCGTCTTCAACCTTTTGGCAACTGGATGGAAGAAGATGAGAGGCCACTCCGATGGCGGGTGGAGCTACAAATCGCGCCAACCACTCAGAAAAATGGCGCGAGCAGGGAAGGAGAAGCGCGGGAGAAAGATTGGGGAGGCGCCGTCCTCTCGCAGATATGCGGGGCGCGGGCTTCTTTTTTCGGAGCGAGCAAATCTTGGGGGGAAAGATTGGGGAGCTGGACCGTCATTTTTTCATGCAAGACTATCTCCAACGAGATCAACCAAAATACATCACCTTTGGGTCTGAAAGCATTCCCATCTAAAACCTACCTTTCTCCAACGGTGAAGACAACGCAAATCTCCTCCCCATAGACCTCGGCGAACCGGCGCACGACGCCATGCATGGGGAAGGAGCCCACCATGGGGAAGAGCTCGCAGACCGGCAAGGGAAGGAGCCAGACACTAACTTGCGCCGGGAAGAAAGAAGCAATGCCGGTGAGGGGGCAGAGGCCCGCACGCCACCGGGGAGGGGAGGAGCCGGACCTTGCGCAGCCGGATCTGGGACCTCGCGCGGCCGGTGAGGGAGCAGCGGCCGGTGATGGGGCGGCGGAGCTCGGCCGCCTGCATGTGAACCCGCGCGACCTCCCCTTCCTGGCACGCCGGCTGGAGATGCGTCGTGGAGAAAGAACGACCCTTTTTTGTTTCCCTCTCTCTTCGAAGGCAAAATAGGTAGCTGATTTGCGTACTCGGTTGGAGGCATGTTTTTCTACTGTGCGTCATGCATTTTGGGTATGGGTACCCTTATGCATAGGCCGTTGGAGACGGTCTAACAGCGCAAATATCCGGTTACTTCTCGAGATGCTCTAAGATTCATGTACTTCATATGTGATATTAAAACTTTTAAAATCAAGTTTAAAATTTGGTGTTTGAATAGAATAATCTTACTAAATATGTACTATACAAATTTGAGGTCTAAAAAAACAAATACCATCTCACTAAGAGTCGATCACAAGATCCTAACTTGAAAAAGTTAGATCTAAAAAATAAAAACAAGTACCTGTGAATTGATCACATCAAATCAAATTTTCAAATTAATCGGCGGCGCCATTTGATGTTTTTATTTGGTAAATAATCGTTACTAATTAGGCTGTACTAAAGTACAAATTGAGGTTTTGATTTCGTCAATATTTAAGTACTCCAAAACGAAGAATCTTTTTTGCAAATAGTGCCAAAGTTTGGAATTTAGCCCTTTTAGTTCTCTCAAAAGTGCACTATGCAAAAAAGAAGATTTCGATCAAACTTCATATGATCCAACTATGAAAATAGACGAAATCAAAAACTAATTGCACAGCTTTGCTAACTTTATGAGACGAATCATTTGAGCCAATTAAAAACAATAATTCAAAATACAAACGTACTACAAAAATTGATCGTGCATGTCCAAACTTTGCATCAAATCAAAACTAAACACCCCTATATGTTCCCAGGAGGCCAGGGCTAGAGAACACGTTTTGTCACGTTCCTAAGATCCTAGTACTATGCACCTTCGCACACTCCATACAATGCAACGTAGGGACAAAATCTTCTCTCTTTCTTGCGTGCAAAGAGTGAAAAATGTGACAAAGGACAAATGGTCCACAATGCATGTATGTAAACCTATATATGCCTTTTCAAAAGTCAGCTTTGAATGTGGCAAATTATGTAAAAAAAACATGGAATGTAAGCCCGTGCCTTTACTATCAAGAGAGAGGTTGATGCTTGTCTGTTTCGAAAGGAGGAAGATGGGGCGGTCAGAGCCCCATGGCACTTCAGCAGTTCCGTGCATTGCATTTGCATCCATCTCCTCGGCAAAGACGGCAACACACACGAGAGAGAAGAGAGCAACAGAAAGGCATGCAAAGGCCAACACGAACACTGCCACAGCCCAGAGGCAGGCAGGACGTTACGCTACAGAGTCCGGCACCACAGGCGAAACGACACCTCAGCGTCCCGAAACGGCACCCTACTTGCATTGCATGTGGCGGTCAGCTCCAGCCGTTCGCCCGTTGCCCCGTTCGGAGGCGCACCAGAACCTGGCCACTGACACCGCACATGCATTGGCGGCCCTGGCCTAGTGGCCTCCTCCTCTGCTGCTGAGTTGTGACTTTTTGTTTAAACATTCTCATCTTAAAAGATTCAAAAAGTTAAAGCAAACTGCAGAATCTTTTTGATTTGGATACACATTTAGTAGACATATGTCACACAAATTTGATGCATACCTCTTACACATATAGTATATGAGAACTAAACAAACCCTAGTGGCCTCCTACCTAAGTTACTTTTTTTTTTTGCCTCTCATCTTAAGTAAAGTTGTAGAATCTACTTCAATCAAGATCACCACCACACTTGACACACCTCCATGGCGGGTATAATGAACAAACATCAACTATACCTGGAGACCGTTGGCACATCTATCACGGCAAGAGACGTGCTAAAATTATCTGCGCAAGAGATAGCTAAAATTATTTTTAACAGGGAATAAATCTTCGAGGTAAGGGACGAACGCCGAGTCTAGGACTCGAACGCTGGTCGGCACGGAGCAAGCCACAGGCTCCTGCCACTCGCGCTACGCGCGATCCTCAAGTTGTGACTTGTGACCACCGCCAGCGGCGGCTGCTCTCCTCACCGCCTGCGTCAGCGCGATCCTCAAGTTGTGACTTGTGACCACCGCCAGCGGCTGCTGCTCTCCTCACCGCTTGCGTCACCGGCGTCCTCTCCCTCGTATAAATAGGCGGTATCGCGCCCACCTCTCTCCACGACCACACCACTCGCTCGTCGAACGCTCGCTCGCCACAGCCATCAGCCTCTCACTCTCACTAGCTAGCTTCCAGCAGCAGCAGCTTGTCGTGCAACAGCACCAGGCCAGAGGCCACCAGCAGCTGGGGTACGGTTGTTGTTCCGTGGTGACTCTCGCACAATGCCGGCCATGGTGGAGGAGGAGCTCGTCAGGGGGGCTGCAGCGGCGCCCGAGCCCGAGGCGCACTTCCTGGTGGTGACCTTCCCGGCGCAGGGCCACATCAACCCGGCGCGCCACCTCGCGCGCCGCCTACTGCGCGCCACGGGGGCGCGGGTCACCGTCTCCACGGCCGTGTCCGCGCTCCGCAAGATGTTCCCGGGCGCCGCCGCCGAGACGGAGCTGGAGGGCCACCGCGACGCCTCGGGGGTGTGGTACGTGCCCTACTCCGACGGCTACGACGACGGGTTCGACAAAGCCGTGCACGACGCCACGCACTACATGAACCAGATCAAGCTTGTGGGGTCCGCCACGCTGGGTGACGTCCTGTCCCGCCTCCGCGGCGCGGGCAGGCCCGTCACGCTCGTCGTGTACACGCTGCTGCTGTCGTGGGTGGCCGACGTGGCGCGCGCCCACGCCGTGCCCGCCGCGCTCTACTGGATCCAGCCGGCCACCGTGCTCGCCGCCTACCTCCACTTCTTCCGCGCCACGGACGGCGTCGACGCGGCCATCGCCGCGGCGGGCGGCGACCCGTGGGCGACCGTCCGGTTCCCGGGCCTCCCGCCGCTCCGCGTCCGCGACATGCCGTCGTTCATCGTCTCCACCTCCGAGAACGACCCCTACGCGTTCGTCGTCGACGCGTTCCGCCAGCTCATCGAGCTGCTGGACGGCGAGGACAGCCCCAGCGTGCTCGCCAACACGTTCGACGCCGTGGAGCCCGAGGCGGTGGCGTCGCTGCGGGACCACGGCGTGGACGTGGTCCCCGTCGGCCCCGTCCTCTCCTTCCTCGACGACGACGCGGCGGCCGGCGGCGCCAAGAACGGCGGCAACGACCTGTTCAGTCAGGACGGCAAGGGCTACCTCGACTGGCTGGACGCGCAGGCGCCGGGCTCCGTGGTGTACATCTCGTTCGGGAGCCTGTCGGTGATGAGCGAGCGGCAGATCGAGGAGGTGGCGCGGGGCATGTCCGAGAGCGACCGCCCGTTCCTGTGGGTGCTGCGGGATGACAACCGCAGCAGCGAGGGCGCCGCGCCGCTCGGCGGGGAGCGCGGCATGGTGGTGGGGTGGTGCGACCAGGTGCGGGTGCTGTCGCACCCGGCCGTGGGCTGCTTCGTCACGCACTGCGGGTGGAACTCCACGCTGGAGAGCATGGCGTGCGGCGTCCCCGTCGTGTGCGTGCCGCAGTGGACGGACCAGGGCACCAATGCGTGGCTGGTGGAGAGGGTCGGCACCGGCGTCAGGGCCGCCGTCAGCGACAAGGACGGCGTGCTGGAGGCCGACGAGCTGCGGAGGTGCCTCGACTTCGCCACCTCCGAGATGGTGCGCGCCAAGGCCGCCGTGTGGAGGGAGAAGGCGCGCGCCGCCGCGTCGGAGGGCGGCTCGTCGGAGAGGAACCTCAAGGCGTTCGTCGCCAAGCAGATCGCCGGCGGCAACAACTAGGCCAACTCGCTACATACTATAGCTCTCGCGCGCGTCGTCGCATGATTATTATTGCTCTATATGCCCACATCAGCTGGCATAGATACTATACAAGACTTAGGATATGGAACTCTACAACTGTACTTACATTGTTGCTCTTGCTGGATTTGGTTCGATTCGAATTAATTACTAAACGTCTATCATGTACATGTTTGCTCATGTCTTCATGATGTGTGTGTTTTTTTTTTTAAAAAAAAAATCAATGTTCTTCATGAAACTCATTGTATATGAGCATTGAAATGCTGCTAGCTCCATAACGTCCTACAATGTCACTTGCTTGCATGTTTTTTCCCCAAAACACAATACAGACGCACGTTCACTTACATGTATGTATACACACTCGCTCCTATGGATACAAGCATATACACACCCTACCTCTACGACCTACCTCTACGAGTGCCTTTGAAATACTAGATCAGCACATCTTGAAATTGATAGTCACTGTAGACATCACGTTGTCGATGGACATATCACCTGCCAATAAAATAATAG